TTTAAAAATTTAGGGTTTAGGAATTAGGGTTTAGGGTTTAGGGTTTAGGGTTTAGGGTTTGCCTTGCAGGAAGTTCTTTGAGGGGGCCCCTGCTATCTCGCCAGCGAGTATTATTATAGCAGCAACAGAGAGAGACCTGCTGCTGCTGCAGCCGCTGCTGCAGCAGCTGCTGCAGCACACCCCGCAGCATCTGCTGCAGGAGGTGCTCGTGTCTCCTTATCAGCAGCAGCAGCAGCAGCTGCTGCTGCTGCTGCTGCAGCAGCACTACACACTGAAGAACGGGGGGCCCCTAGGGCCTTTGCTGCCGCTGCTGCAGCAAACCCCAAAAGTTATTGTGCTGCCAGAGACACAGAAGAGTAAACCCTAAACCCTAAACCCTAAACCCTAATCCCCCTAGGCACGAACAACGTGCAGTAATTGTCTGCGGAGAGTTTCGATAGGCTGCAGCAGCAGCAAGCTCCGACCTAGGGTTTAGGGTTTAGGGTTTAGGGTTGTTTGATGCTTGCAGCGTATGCTGCTGCTGTCCGTGCTGCTGTTGAAGCAGCAACTGCTGCTACAGTTGTTGTGCTGCCTGCCGCTACTCGGGTGTCTCCTCACTGGCTGCAGCCGTTGCTGCTGCTGCAGCAGCAGCAGCAGCAGCACGCCATAATATACCCAGCAGAAGCAGCACAAAAACAAACAACAGCAGCAAATTTCTATCAAATGACATTGGGGGCCCCTGGGGGCCCCCAATGTCGCAGGGGTACGCTGCTGCTGCTGCTGCTGCTGCTGCTGGTGCTGCTGCTTGTGCTGCTGCTGCTGCTGTTCTTGCTGGTGCTGCTGCTGGTGCTGCTGCTGCTGGTGCTGCTGCTTCTGGTCTTGCAGCTGGTGCTGGTGCTGGTGGTACTGCTGCTGCTGATCTTGCTGCTTTGCTGCTGTTGCGGGTGATGCTGCTGCAGTTGCTGTTGTTGCTTGTGCTGCTGCAGCTGCTAATGTTCTTGCTTGCAGCTGCAGCTGCAGCTTCATTCTTGTTGCTCCTGCATCAGCTGCCTCTGTTTCTGCCTGGTTGGTGCTGCTGCTGCTGCTGCTGTCTTGTTGCTGCTGCTGCAGCTGAGCTTACATGGGCCCTAAACCGGAGGGAAGTGCGTGACGCAGGAGCAACAGCAGCAGCAGCAGCAGCAGCAGGAGCAGCAGCAGCAGCAGCAGCAGCAGCAGACACAGTATTTTCTCGTGTGCTTCCTACAGGAGCATTTGCTGCTGCTCGCTCTTTGCTGCTAGCTGCAGATACACCCGACCCGCTGCTGCAGCACCAAGACGGTGTACCCCTAGACATTTCTCTTTTTGCTGCTGCGTTTAATTTATCTCTCCTTTGTAATCCCTGCAGCAGAGTCTTTTTTGCTGCAGTAAACCCTACAAGAGACTTCGTAAACCCTAAACCCTAAACCCTAAAAAACCCTTAATCCTAAACCCTAAACCCTAAACCCTAAACCCTAAAAAACCCTTAATCCTAAACCAAAGATCCCTAAACCCTAAACCCTAAACCCTAAACCATGTACGAAAGACGAAGAAAACCAAGAGATATAATTGGGCTAAAGGGTTCAGGGACTGGTAAGGAGCACCTTAGGGTTTAGGGTTTAGGGTTTAGGGTTTAGGGTTTAGGGATTGTGGGGTTTAGGATGAGGAACGGGCTCTCATTCAAACGAAGATGAGGGTTGCAGAGGCATGGCTAGGAGATATTGCAATGCTTGCTTGGTAGGGTTTAGCGTTTAGGGTTTAGGGTTTAGGGTTTATGGTTGAGGGTTTAGGGTTTAGGGTTTATGGTTGAGGGTTTAGGGTTTAGGGTTTAGGGTTCTTACTAATTTTTTTTTGTTGTTTGTTTTTATTGTATTGGTTTGTCTCTTCCTTTATTATATTTATTATATTTATTATATTTAATATATATTTAATATATATATCTTTTATTTATTATTATTATAATTATTATAATTATTATATTACATTAATATAATAAAATAAAAATATTATTTTTTTACCTTTTTTACATTTAAAAGCATTTAATATTTATTTTTTATTTTATTTATTTTAATTAATTAATTAGTTAACTAACTAATTAATTAATTAATTAATTTATTTATTTTATTTTATTTTATTTTATTTTATTTTATTCTTTTAGGGTTTCTCTTGGAGAACCAAATATACCCCTCGGCCCACCGCCGCTGCGGCTGTCT